GATTACAGGTAAAATTCCATGTTGAATTAGGAGTTGGATTAGAGGTTGGATCAGACATTAGTTTATGGGTGGGATTATAGGATGGATTATGGGTTGGATTAAGGGTTGGTTTAAGTGTTGGGTTAGGGGTTTGATTAAGGGTTGAAATATGAACAAGATTAAGGGTAGGGCTATAGGCCGGATTAGATTAAAGGTATACATATGGGCAGAGGTGTAACTAGAAACCATGGGGCACAGTGTAAAATTGCCCTGGCCCCCCTGGTGTTTCCCTATCCCTCCAAGTGTCTCATTCCCTCCCCCCAGCCCCTCCTTTTGCCTCTGTTTAATCAACCCATACATGTGTATGATTCCCTTCCCCCAGCCCCTTCATGTGCATTATTCCTTCCCCCAGCCCCTCAATGTGTATCATTTCCTCTCCCCCAGCCCCTTCATGTGTCTCATTTCCCCCCAAGCCCCTCTATGTGTCCCATTTCCTCCCTCCCAGTCCATCCATGTGTTTCATTCACTCCCACCATGTGTATCATTCACTCCCCCAAGCTCTTCCATGCATCTCATGACCTCCTCCCTCCCTCCATGTATCCTATTCCCCCCCCCCCCCCCGCTCCGCCAGTGGGACCGTGCACCGGCCTTGAAGTTACGGTGGCCCTCGGTTGCAGCTCTTAAACCGTAATTCACTTCTTGCAGTATTTTCTTTACAACTTTTACAAATTTATTTTAATCCAAGACCTATTGGGCATTTTAACAATCAGGACTAATCCTGATATTATACCTATTTTGAGTTAATTTTCTTTTGTTGCATTTGGTGTGTAGACAATATAAACAGTAAAACTGAAAAAAAGTATATTTTTTATATTGTATTCTGTTTAGTACTGCACTATGTACACATGCAGATTATCAAAAGCCCTATTTCACCTTTAGAAAATAATGTAGAATATGTATGGGTAAACTTATACAGAAAAGGGCAAAAAGCGCCAAAATGTCCTTAATCACAAACACATCGCATCTCAAAAAAGCTCTCATCCTCCTCCCCTGCCCCCATGTGTCTCATTCCCTCCCCTCAGCCCCTCCATGTGTATCATTCCCTACCCTTCCTCCAGCCCCTCCATGTGTATCATTCCCTACCCTCAGCCTCTCTATGTGTATCATTCCCTCCCCTCAGCCCCTCCATGTGTATCATTCCCTACCCTTCCTCCAGCCCCTCCATGTGTATCATTCCCTACCCTCAGCCCCTCTATGTGTATCATTCCCTCCCCTCAGCCCCTCCGTGTGTATCATTCCCTACCCTTCCCCCAGCCCCTCCATGTGTATCATTCCCTACCCTTCCCCTAGCCCCTCCATGTGTATCATTCCCTACCCTTCCCCTAGCCCCTCCATGTGTATCATTCCCTACCCTTCCCCTAGCCCCACCATGTGTATCATTTCCAAGCTTTGGTCCTTAAAGTGTTAAAGGGGCACTCTAGTGGTTTTGGTGCTAGCACGCCCCTAGCGCCATTCCCCCAATTACAGTTGCTCAGCATATTGCTATTGCAGAGAATACACCACTGCATCTATTCTCTCCATCATTTGGACATACAGGGTTATTCACAAAAGTGAGAATTCAAGGTGAATTCACTGTGAATTTTAAATGTAAGGTCAAAATAGCAAAACTTGAACAATTCTCTAAGTTAGCTATGCTTTCCACTCAGCTACTCTGGCCTTGAAACTTGAAATTCACTTTAGATTTACCTCGAATTTACCTTGAATTCTCACTTTAGTAAATAACCCTGAAAATTGATATTGCTAATATGTGTAACATCCTCAATTGCAATATGCCAAGAGAGAACTCTTGGTTTATGTCAAAATGTTCAATAACACAGAACCGGAGGATGATGCCAGGGTCAAGCTGTAATAGTTACGGTTCTTGTTGTGAGCCTTTAACAGAAAGCAAATGTAGGCCCAAGGCTTTCTAACTTTCAAATGTTAAGCAGCTACTGAAGTCAGGTCAGAATGCATTGACTTGTTATGGTATTTACTGTATCATGTTAAGTGACATATCTGTGACCCATGGCAAAGTTAATCAAATGTGCTAAATGAAATAAAAACAGTGACTTTACAATGACAGGTTCCATCTAAGTATTTCAATGTTCCGAAAATTCTATTTCAGCATCCTTCGCTCTGAAAGGGTTTCTAATCTGTCTGCTTGGCGCGGAGGACAAGTAGGTAATTCCATTTTACTGCTACAGTAACAGATGGACATGCCGCAATCAGTGAAACAGCAGCGGGGAGGAAACCATGGAAACCTTATAAGCTCTTGCTGCACAGGAGCTGTCAGCTCAGCAGAGTGTATTGTCATATTCAGGCAATGAAACTGTGCCATGAAAACAACGTTACTCTCCTACCCTTTCTATAGATCAGGGCATTGTGTGTTTCTAGCTCAATGTTCCAGACTATTCTGCCTCATCTTGCTATTTCATCCATATGTTCAGAAATGATGTTAACTGTCATACTACTAATGTACACCTCTACACACCAAAACAAACATGGTATACGTGAAATTATAATTTATTTTATTAATGGCACATTTCTTATGGGTTTAAAAGAAATTTACATGAAAAAGTACTCACAAAACGGTCTCCCATATAAACTTTTTTTGGGGGGGGGGTTTGTTTTGTTTTGTTTTTGTTTTTTTGTAAATCTTTTTATAGGATTAAAATTGGGACATTTTAAAAAATACTTAATAGTGAACTATATTATTCCTTCTTTAAACATTGTAGGGATAATTGTGGGCGTCTGACAACATGGACATGACTAGCCCTCTATACCTCTTTAGAACACACACAGTGGCATAACTACATAGTTGGTTGGATTGTAGCTGTATGCCGATGGCAAATACTTCTTGATACCTTGCACTTATATGCCTTGATCTGGTCAATTTGTTGAGTAAAAATAAGTATATATAAAGGTCAGATTATTTTATAATTTAAGAGGTTATAAAGTAGGCAATAGTTTACAAGTAATGCTGTTGTGTAGTAACTGGACATCATTATGCGGAACTGAGCTCTAGAATCTGGTAAGCTTATTGGAAAACTCAGAAACTACAACAAATTAATCTCATTCAGGCAGAAAGCAGCCATGTTTACTACAATTACACATTATAGTGGGGTGTGAAAGCTCTAGCAATTTTGTAAACTAACAAAGAGTAGAGTCAGCGCTAATATATCAGAAAGAGATACAAAAGGCAGCAATCCCAAACAAGGACTCCCTCACGTGTCCTTGAGATAGATACGGAAAGCAAACAAACAAAAGGATGGGACTGCACCAGTGAACAAATTAAGTAAAATAAAAAAGTTTGGGTTGAGGTAGAAATATTGAAATAGAGTCCAGTATAATTAAACTTTGGTCTTATGTTGGTCTCTGAAGTTGTAGAGTGATCCAAAAGGTATCCAAATAAAATAGAAGAGATAATACTCACTTTTTGTAGAGCTTAATCCAGCTCCGGTATGAATAGCTTGCAGCGGTATGATCCCCGCTTGTGGGATATGCGGTGTGTCTCCTCTTCGGTGTAGTGGCAGACAGCCAGGGGGAAGATAAAACGAAAAACAGTGATGGTGCAGTATGTTCCAAAAGTGGATAAGAAGTATTTAAATATAGTAGATGCACTCACATTTAATAGAGCTTATACTAGCTCTAGTGTAGTAGGCATACAGCGGTATGATCCCCGCCTCTGGGATATATGGTGAGCGTTCTTTGAAATAGTTCTTTAAGATGGTAACAGGAGCTCAGGGAGAAGATAATAAAACAGCAATAGTGCTCTCAGTAAAATAATGCTGGTACATAAAATATAATAAAATATACTCACAATGTATAGGGCAGACTAACTGCTCTATGGTATAGGCACAGGTGGTATAATCCCCACCTCAGGATTCTTTGGCGTATAGGAGATAATAGGTAAAAAGCCAGGTAGTTATAATAAAAAGTGTAAAAAATAAAATAAATAAAAGATAATGGTGCAAAAGAATAAAATGACCAAAATCTATTTATTAACAGTAATTAAAAAGCAGTACAATATCCAAACACGTTTCACCAATATAGGCTTTATCAATGGATTAAAAACATTTCAACCTGGCTAGTTGGGGTATATATAGGCTTGGAACAACTTTGAAAATTGTGCCAAAACTGCTCTGACCAATCACAGAGCACATTGTGATTACACATAAATAACAGCTGTAAACCTTTGTAAGTACATAGATATACCTAATAGGATGTGAAATATATAATTGTGATGTAAATGTGTGTATATATGTGTGTCATGGTTTTTTCTGTGTGTCTGTGTATCTGTATTTGTGTCAGAGTTTGTATTGTTTTTCTGTGTATCTGTATGTGTGTCACAAACACTGCTAAATAAAACCCTGCATGGTAGATCCCCAGCTGGCAAAGCATTGTGGGAGCTGTACGATAGATGAGGAACTAATGCTTGGCCACCCTTGTGAGAGGGAGGTTTTGGTTGCTATTCTAGATCTTGAAATGTTCTAGAGGCTCTTCCACTCAGTTGCCTGGCTGGTTTCTTGAAGATAGGGATTTTCATAAGCAATGCTGACATCTAGAGGCTGCAAGTGGCCCAGAACGATGACTTGATGATTTAGGAGTCAAAAGTAACCTGAAGAAGGTAGCTTTTGAATACCATATCATTGTGCTATATTTGTCTTGCGTACCTTTTTACTGTAAATAATCAAATAAATAAACCACTTACAGAAAGAACAAACTATTTTAAACATACGGTAAAGAAGACTATTAAAATGTTGTTAAAGGGATGTTCTAAGCAACATAATAACCAACAAATTCCCCCCAGTTTTCAGGTTTTTTAAATGATTTGACAGGCTCTTCTCACCCAGATAGACTGACTTATCTTTGATTCCTAGGTAATTCAAAAAATCAATCCTGCCTAAGCCCATTCAAAGCTGTTCAACAGTCAAATGTCTTTTTTTAAGTTTTAGAATTTTAATTATTAACAGACTGCAGGGAAAAAAGTGTCTTTGAAAAACCTTTAGTTCATTCTTCTAATAAGTCTGTTGATCTGATCTTCCCTGTTACCAGCATCACCACCATCCACAAAGTGTGTAGTTTTCTTCTTCATTCCACCTTTGGGAGAAGAAAGTTTGAATGGCCAAAGAAAGTTGTTTTCCTTCTTGAAGTTTTTGTCAATGGTGTAAATTTCAGGAATTAGATCTTCGACACAAATGATGCCAGTCTTGCCTAAATGCCTCTCAATGAGAGAGTTGTCTGTCAGAGGGATACGCTGCTTGCGGATCTTCAGGTATCCACGCTTGTAGATTAGCGATCTCACAGACTTTAAATTGGGATATCCCCAAGCAATGTATGGTTCCACCAGCCTGAGCATGTTAATGGATGCCTTGTTCATTTTCACAAATGTGCCATTAAAGATCTGACGAAGACGGAGAAGTTGCAACACCTTACGAACCTTTGGGCTAACACCGTTAATACCTCGAATTCTGACCACAAAAGCCAATTTAAGTTCAGCAGGTACAGAGTAGTTTCCAGCTTTGCGGGGCATGTATTGACACACGAATTGCAAGTCTGACCATTTGCCTGTATTACTTGTAGTATCCTTCAGCTCTCTTGTATATGATCTTCCCTTTTTTTTTTTTACAGATCTTTTTCTAAGAAAGGATCTTTTTGATCCTTTTAGCTTTCTGAGCAGCAAAAAGCTTCCGTCTTTTTTCAAGGCTTTCTGGAACGGAGGGCAACTTCTTTCCTTCTGTCTCCTCAATGTTCACCACCAGAAAAGAGCAGAACAATGCCTTTTAATACTACATGAAAAAATTTAAAATGTTCTAATATATAAAAAACAAATGTTACATATTACATGCAGTGGTGTATCCTGGTTTTGTGCTGCCCTAGGCAGGACAAAACTCAGGCACCCCCTACCCCCGCGCCACCCCCACTCAACTCTTCCCTCCCGCCCCACCTTCTAAATACACACACACAAACAGTCAGACACACACAGTCAGACACACACAGTCAGACACACACACACAGTCAAACACACACACACACAGTCACACACACACACACAACACACACACAGTCAGACACACACACAGTCAGACACAAACACACACACACAGTCAGACACAAAATACAGTCAGATACACACACACAAACAAACACACAGTCAGACACACACACAGTCACACACACACACTCACAGTCACACACACACACACACACACACACACAGTCAGACACACACAGGCACAACACACACACACACAGTCAGACACACACACACAGTCACACACACACAGTCAGACACAAACACACAGTCAGACACACACACACAGTCAGACACAAACACACACAACACAAACACACACACACAAACACACACACACACAGACACACAAATACACACACACACAGACACAAACACACACAGTCAGACACACACAAACACACAGTCACACACAGACACACACACAGACACAAACACACACACAGTCAGACACAAACACACAGTCAGACACACACACAGACACAAACACACACACAGTCAGACACACACAGTCAGACACACACACACACAGTCAGACACACACACACACACACACACAATCACTCACATTAACACCTTTTTTATTTTATTTCACCCTCTGTTCCTCTTTCTCCCTGGTGGTCCAGTGGCTGCCGGTCAGGCTGATGGGCTGGCTACTGGGCAGAAGGGCGGCTGGCGAGGGAGCTCTTCCTCTGAGCACTCTGCTCAGCTCCCTCGCATGCCACAGAGTGAGGCTGGGAGCCGGGTTGATGACGTCATATTCCGGCTCCCAGCCTCACTCTGCGGCGCACGAGGGAGCTGAGCAGACCACTCAGAGGAAGAGCTCCCTCGCCAGCCGCCTCGCCAGCCGACCGGCAGCCCAGCATGTTAGTTAGCCGCGAGGCTAACTAGGCATTTGCCCTGGACATTTGGGGGCGGCGTTTTTTGCCGCCCCCTGAAAAATGCCGCCCAAGTCAAATGCCTTGTTTGCCTCGCGGCTAAAACGTCCCTGATTACATGGCAATCGGTGTGTTCCCTGCTGCCAATCCATTCTCATTACTACAACACTAGCGAACATCTCTGCAAATCCACAAAATGTTCTCAGAATTATGAAAAAACTGAAAAGTAAACTACAAGCAAAACAAAGCACTTGTCTAACATATGTCAATAAGAAGAGATGTGCATTACGAACCTAGGGGTCACAAAGAGCTAATTACCAGCAAGAGTCCAGCTGTTACCCAGACAGTACAAAGTGAATACAATGTGTAGTTACTGATGTTCAGTAAGAAGTCTCTATGGAAGATGCTTGCTGTGTAGACAAATCTCCAAGCTGGCATAAACTGTGTAAATCTGGGGCTCCGAAGCTAGAGAGTACTTCTGAAGAGGAATTTAACTAATTAACTTATAATCATATTTTTTGCATTTTAGACATGCATGATGGTATTCTAGATGACTGTAGAATGGATCATCATAAGGAAAAAAGATGAACAGAGGAAACTAATAGGCTGTAAGTCTTCAAATATAGTATAATGCATTTATTTTATTTTTAAGATGTTCCTCCAGAGAAGAAGAATGATACCAACGGGCTTAAAATCAATTAAATAAACAACCAGTAGCTTTAGGGATGCCTTCCTTCCCACACCAAAAATACAACAATCAATAAAATATTTTTTAAATTGGTTAAAATAGTATGGATTAGTATCTTACCCTTGACAATATTTGGGGAAGTGGAGATTTCACCAAGCTACCATGTAACACATAAACAGAAAAAAACATATAGTGCAGATAATTTCTTTAAAATTATAAATATAAGTAATTGTTGAAAACCACATTGATTGGAGCCTGAAATTATGGCTCAATTGATTGCACAATCATGCTTCTTGGAGTTATCAATCTCAAAAGAAAAATAGAAAGGAGAACACAAATAGCCCGTGATGTAAAAGTTAAACAGTATAGATGAGGGTACATTGTTAAGTTGAATGTTGTAGTGTCAATTTGTGGGGTGTACTGTTTGGGGAGTATCACCCCACAAATTAACACTATGCCATTCCACTTTAGAGCCAGGGATTTATGGGACTTTGAATAGGGTGAGCTTGACACTATAACCTCACCTATACTGGTTAACCTTTACACCCTGCACTCTTTCTGTTTTCCTCTCTACTTTGCTTTTGAGACTGAAAAGTCCAAGAAGCAAGGTGTGATGCCTAAAGAACATGATTGTACAATCAGTGGAGCCATAATTTTAAGCTCCAATTAATGTAAGTGAATTTAAACTATTACTTATACTAATTATTTTAAAGAAACCATCTGCACTATATGTTTTTTCTATGTATGTTTTATATGGTATATTGGTGAAATATCCACTTATCCGAATACTGTCAATGGTAAGATAATCATCCATACTATTTAACGTGCTCCACTAATAAGGTTTTTACTTATAATATTCTATTAAATAATTTAATAATTGCTGCTTTTATTCCAATCACTTCTTTATTTTAAATTTACAGTAACACTCTAAAATAATGATTTCATATGCTAACGTTCATGTCAAAAATTCTAAAATATACGTGATTAAAATTGCAAAATTATTATATTCTCAAGCTGAGATCTAAAATGCTTACTGAAACAATCTTTTAGCATTTAGAAATACTTTTTCTATGTAAACACGGGAAGTAAAGTTATTTACAGCTTTGCTTGGGAAGACCAATACAGTTCCAAGAGTCTCCAATTCACTTTCAGTCAGAAGACATTGATACAATGGTGTCCATGCAGGTCCATATTGCTATAGCATAAAGCAGCACTGTGTCATTTTTAGCTATTTCTGTGAAAACTACTGTGTTGTCATGGAAACCTTGCCTTTAACGCCTATAGTGTAAAGGACAAATTTGAGGCTGAAATTCTGCTCCGAACTTTCATTCACCAAGTAAAAGCTGGAGACGTTGTCGGTATTTCAGAAAGGTATGCAAGGTTAATAATTAAAATAATCTGGAGAAGCTCCTAATAGCAACATGTTAAGCTCCTAATAGCAACATGCTTTTAGACAATTAATGGAATAAGAAAAATACATTTTATTCATAGTGCTTTTCAAAATTACTATAGCGTGACATTTTGACATGAAGAATAGATCATTGGAAATAATACTTATAGGATGTGATTCTGGTTTATTCTGCAAAATAATATTTTCATATACAAATCATTTTAAATGGGTAATTATCATACATGATAATCTATGTTTTAATTACTGCTGTCTCTTATTAAAAAAAAATGAGGAACATCAGTACTCCAAAGATCCATTGGAACATGCCCTCACATCCTCTTGTGCCATGCTTTGCCAGAGAATCTCTGAAAAGGAAAAGACTAATAAGACCCAAGGGATTTGGGTTTATTTGATGTTACATTGTAGAGTGAAACAAATCATTCTAACATCCAAGCTTAGTGGTGATGATTAACGTTGGTGCAACATGTGATGTTAACTACATTAACTACATTTCAATGCTCAGTCTCTGAAGGCAAGGAAACAAAGCAGAAATAGACAGAATTATTATTATTATTTTTTTTAATGGAAAATAAATACAAATTTTAAATCCGTGATGGTAACATTTATGATGATTACTGTTTTTGGTGAGGTTCTTTTTCTTTGCTTGATTTTAACATCTGTAAAAGGAATGAACGATCCTGTTCTCATCTGCTAATAATTGTATTTGTGCCCGACACCATACGTGGTTATGATTTCATTTTATTTAAAAATGTCCTCATTTTATATCAAACACTGTTTAATAGCTGCCTGTACAGCATTCCAGCATTATGGTTGTAAAACTATGGCAAAAAATAAAGAAAAATAGAAAAAGATACCCACTTTAAACCCTTAAGGACCACACTTCTGGAATAAAAGGGAATCATGACATGTCACACATGTCATTTGTCCTTAAGGGGTTAAAAGTTCCTGCATTTTATGGATTTTCAACCTTTACAATTAGCTCCGTCCCGTATAGGATATAAGTCAGCCAACCAGCAGGCTCTCATTCTCTTATCCCACTATTCTGAACTTACCGTATCTAAATTTTCTATTTCAACTATTTTGGACTAAACGTCACACATTCCCACTTTTAAAGAGTTTGAAGATTGTAACCTGCATTACATATATCTTTATTTGAACATAGCGGTTTATTCACTTTATTGCATTGAAACATTAACTACAACATTTACACTAAAATGTTTTTTAAAAATACTCATCAAAAAACAATAGTTAACTTGCGACTTGTTAAAATATTCTATACACATTTGTGAAATAGATAGCAAGAAATATTTATAAGTATTTAAAGGAGCACTTGAGGGTCAGGAACGCAAACATGCATTCCTGACCCTATAGAGTTAAAACTACCAACTAGCCCCCCTGGCTCCCTCTTGCCTCCCTTAATACAGTTAAATCTATACAAGTCTGAAGCTGCTACCTCTGCTTCTGAACTGCCTCTGTCTGCTGACATCATCAGAAGTGGTGGTCTTAGTCAATCACAATGCATTCACATAAGATTAGCTAAGATTGTCAAGGAGGTAGATCAGGGGCAGAGCCAGCACAAGTCAAACACAGCCCTGGTCGATCAATATCTCTTCATAGAGATGAATTGAATCAATGCATCTCTATGAGGAAAGTTCAGTGTATGCATGCAGAGTGTGGAGACACTGAATAGCAGTGCTGCTTACTCTGCAGCACTGCCCCAGGAAGGATCTCTATCAGCCATCT